GCTAAGAACTGAACAGTCCCTGGTTAACACCCAGCATTCTCAAATCCATAAATACAAAAAAAACCAATATAAAAACAGTACAGAATGGTCACATAACCAGAGACCAAACAAAACGTTACTCGTCAATCCTAACCAGCCTGAAAGAAGGGCAAAAAAATTGTATTATGAGAACAGATTATCCAACTTACGAGGTGATAAAAAAAAGACCGGGAAAACCCTATCAGAAATTCTGGGAAAAAAAAAGATATCACGAAATAGCGAAATAAAATTAGAAAAAAATCAGATGAACCCAATCCCACCAACAAAACAGCAAACAGACTCAATGACTTCTTCTCCCCCTATAGGACAAAACCTTGCCAATAAAATCCCAAGCTCAGATACCCCACCAAATGACTACCTCACTGGCCCCCCAACCCTAACACACGTCCAGCCCCGACTAACCCATACGAAGTCTCCCTTATTACAACACGCAAAAAAACAAGGCAGGAGATTTAAATACCTTACCACCCTTTAAATACAAAAAAGTGTCAACAAGTGGCAATCACCAATCCATTGCAACACTTTTTAAAAAAATCCATTGAATCCTCCACCTTCCCCACAGTACTCAAAATAGCAAGGTCACCCCGATCCACAAAGGAGGAGACCAAACAGAGTTGAATAACTATAGCCAAAATCCACTTACACCCTCTCTCAAAAATCTTCGAAAAATTAAATTCATAAACGAATCTACTCCTACCTTATCTCCCAAAACATACTCAACCCCTCCCAAATTTTTGGATTCAGGCCAAATAAAAATACTAAATGAGCTATTATACACATGCTAGAACATATATACACTGCAATAGAGAAAAAAGAAGTCCCACGGGGATCTTCATTGACTTACGAAAGCTTTGATACAGTTAACCATGACTTGCTCCACGTAAAATTGTCACACTATGGTATAAGAGGCACTCCCCAACTACCTCAAGCCCATACCTCACAACAGAAGCCAATATGTTATCAAAGGGGGCAAACTCTTCTGCACAACCAATTACAGTTGGTGTCCCACAGGGAAGTTCCTTGGCCCTCTTCTCTTTCTCCTAACATAAATGACCTACCAAATGCTTCGCAATTACTCAAACCCACACTATTTGCAGATGACACTACATACGTCTTCTCCCACCCAGCCCAGTCACGCTAGCCAATACTGTAAATACAGAATTACAGAAAATATCTACCTGGATAGGACTAACAAACTTACACAAAAAATTGACAAAACCACTTCATTCCGTTTGGTAACAGAGCTACAGATGTCCCTCTTAACATAATGAAAAAACGGATCACCTATCACAAACTAACAAGGGAAAATTCTTAGGAATCCACCTTGAAATAGACTCAAATTTTATACACATATACAACAAAATTCTAAGAAAATTTCCAAGACTGTAGGGATACTATCGAAGATACGGGACTATGCCCACACCCCCCTCCTGGCCCTATATCCCCTCTTATTTACCCCTATCTCACCTATGGAATTTGTGCATGGGGCTCAACAACAAGTAACCATCTCAACCACTAATTACCCAACAAAAGGCTGCAGTTAAATGATAAACAAATTCTCACTATAGGCAGCCACTCCACCAATATTCAATACACTAAACCTATTCACCATACAAAACATTCATACTTATTACTGCACCTATTACATACATAGAACACTTAACTCTGATATTAACCCTCCCCTCAAACATCCCTTGCCAACCTCAAAAAACCATGACCATAACACAAGCAAAAGATCACTCTTTGATGTTTCCCCGTGTCCATCTCACACTATGCAAAAACTCAAAGCACATAAAAGGCCCTAAAATCTGGAAATCACTACCTGTAAATATAAAAAAAACACTACCCGTTTATAAATTCAAGTCTCTTCTCAAAGATCACTTACTCACCCAAAACCAAATAAATACTGAATAACTGAACCTTATAAATTGTATATCTTAAATGTTTCTCACAATTTATATCCACATAAATGTTAAACCTAAAACCCAATCTAACTTTATTATTTTTAAATACACTACCTAACAAATACTCCATTCTACTGAATGTACAACAATGCATACAACCATATGACCTTCTTTGTAATACTCACTTGGTGCTTTATAGTAATCTGTTTTACATTAAAGTTTTATCACCGATGTCATCAATTGCTTATTCATCTTTAAATTAATTTTAAGCCAGCCCGTAATGCTATGCATAGTATAAGTGGCTTTGGCATACTGCTCTTTTCTGTATTTTTTGTACCTCTGTAAAGTGTGCACAAATTTTTAAATAAATAAATAAATAAATAAATAAAAAAAGCTGTTTGTTATGCACACATGTTTTTTGGGGTTATTACCTTTCAAAAAAATTTTATTTACCAATTCAATTTTTTTTTTTAAACTCCCGACATTGCCATGACTTAATTTCAGATCCTCCAACATGAAGGGGTCAATCTAAGCAGTTTAGTTTTATCATTTGCGTTTAAAACCCTGGCAGCCATTCCACTGTGGGGTTCTGGCATAAGGTTGTAATATTAATCACTTCTTTAGTTAGCTTCATAGTTTTTTAGTCCGGCTATGCCTCGGTGGGTTTTTGTTCGGTTTAGCCTTGGTGGTTTTAGTTCACCTTTGCCTTGGGGGTTTTAGCTTGGGTTAGCCAAGGCCGTTTTAGTTCGGGTTAGCCTCGGGAATTTTACACATTAGTGGGTTTAGTCAAGAAAACTCAACCAAGGCAGTACATAATGGGTCATATCAACCAGTTTTTGTTGATTTACATTTAATGTAACAACATATCTTTATTTCTACAAGTACATGTACAAGGTATACAGACTACAGCTACTATATAGAATGCGCTTGTTATTCAGAACATTTCGGGCAAATTAAAATCAGTTTTTTTCCCAGGATGGATGCACACCATCGACTAAACACCCAGGGATTCATTTTACTGATAGGTGAACATTGGGTGGCCCGTGGCCCGTGGCTAAAACTCCTGCTTCACACACGGGGGGCCCGGGGTTTGATTCCCGGTAGGTGGAAACATTTCGACACGTTTCCTACACCTTTGTCCTGTTCACCTAGCAGCAAATAGGTACCTGTGTTAGTCGACTGTGTGGGTCGCATCCTGGGGACAAGATTGAGGACCCCAATGGAAATAAGTTTTAAAACAGTCCTCGATACGCACTGACTTTCTTGGGTTATCCTGGGGGGCTAACCCTCCGAGGGTTTAAAAAAACCGAACGAAATCTTTTCTTATCTTAACATGGACAACAGGTGTAGGGAAACAAGCCTAATGTTTCCACCCATGCTGGGAATCGAACCCAGTCCCCTCAGTGTGAAGCCAGAGCTTTGCCTACCAGGCCACGAGCCACCTTTAATGGTCATATTGAATATGGTCATACCTCCTGATGTTTTTGAATATAACCAAATTATCATAAAACTCATGGGGAAGCTCTAAACCTGTTGGGGTCATGCAGCACTCATAACGAAGAATACAAATTAATAAGATACTGCAGATTATATTGATGTTTGAAGTTAGGGTCATATGTAGTTTACTACTGGTGTTTTATCTAAATTCTCAAGTATTGTGTTCTACATATCTATACTTAGTGCCTATGGGGAAATACATATTTTAAACATAACCTGGCCTAATTTTACTCGGCCTATAATAACTAACAATTTTATAGCTTGTTGGGTTAGGTTGGGCTGGGTTATGTTATTCAATGTATCAAAATAAAGATTCTTCCCTATTTGTTTTAAAATATAATTGATTCCATTGCACAGTCCACTTAATATAATTAATTTATACGTATACTATTCTTATTTTGCCTGTTATCGCCTACAACAATTTCCACAATAAATAACTTTCCTCATTCAATAGATAATATGCCTATTTATAATATAAAACATAACAAATTTCTGTTCCGGGTTAAATATACTTTATGGCCAACTATAATACCTTTTCAATATACACGTCCCCGTAACTTTTTTTACTTACTAAAATAAAGGTGCTAAATCCATAGGGGTATTATATCGCAATTTTTAATGGGGTGGAGGGGCAAGCCTGTGGAAGGCTCAGTCAGATGACCAAAAACACCAGCTGCGGGCCATCATATGACTAAGACCAGCATCAGGAAACACTTTTCCTGTTTCCTGACCTCCATATGGGTCATACAGCATATGAGAGCAATAATATGCAATGTCACTAAAATTTAATACGAAACTCAATACATAAAACCATTATATAAGTTTAAAATTATGTACAAGGACTAAATTATTACAGTAATGGGGAGGAGCGATATTATTATTATTAAAAATCAAAAGTGATAAACCCACAAGGGCCAGGGAGGAGTGATATTGCAATGAAAAGTGCTAAACCCACAAGGGCCGGGGAGGAGCGATATTATTACAATCATAATTAAGTACTGAACCCACAAGGGCCAGGAAGAGAGATGAAATGCAGTCATTTATGACCCGAGGAAAGGGAGCACAGGCCCCATTCCTTGGATCAAGAGCCCCTCACCAGCATCAAGGGGCCCAGACAACCTTACTTACACATCAAGGATCACTGTGCTGGGCTCAATAAGCTTTATATCCGTATGGACCAAACAGGTGAAGGGGTTAAAGCGTTAACCTGTACGGGTGACAGAGGTGCAGGATTGACGGTGTTCTAGGGTGATTTAGGCCAGACTAGGGTGGTGGTGCTGCTGCTGCTGCTTATCTTCTTCACACACTACTAAGCCACCGTGACAAGTGGCAACAAGCACCTGGCGTCTTGCAAGACACAGTGTGGCCTCGACACAGTGTGGCCAAACACACGGTACATAACTACATAAAAATAGGTGAAGGGAGGGTAATAAGGTGCGATTACAAGTTTAACGTGATTACAGGCGTGATTACATTACTCTAGCCACTAGTTCTACGCACAGGCATGTATGTATATTCACATGATTACACATTTAAAATACACCTTGGTGCTACACATACAACGACTACTACAAGAGTTCTACACAACAGTGTATCTGAGAGACTACACCATGTACCTAGACACATGCTCATTGCATCTCTACTGTTCCTTATTGACTGCAACACCATTCCCTACCCTGGGTTCCAATACTGCTACTCCATTATATTTGCCCTTCCTCGCCTTAAAACTCGCGTAAATTGGTTGATATCAATGCCGTATAGTGTATGGTTATTTGTTTAATTAATGGTAGTGGATGGATATTTAGAATGAGTGAGATATGGAGGTTTATAAATGTTTTAGAATGCGCATGATGTGGGTGTTGCAGTGCGCCGGTGGGGCCAATCGATACAATGTTGGAGTAGTGCTGTGCCTAGTTCATTATTTTATATACTTTCGTTCTGTTTCACTGCACTTCACTTCAACTCCTACACTAACTCTTATCTAGCATATATTACTCGTTACTGTTAGATCATATTAAACAATGATACTAATCTCGATGGGTTTCTCTCAAGGTTTACTGAAGGGATGTAATTGTTGGGGCTCAAAGAGTGGGTTAATTGCTTCACAACGATGGCTAAGGAGAGGCAGTGAGTGGGGGTGGATGAAGTTTCTCCTTGGCGCACACACACACACACACACACACACACACACACACACACACACACACACACACACACACACACACACACACACACACACACACACACACACACACACACACACAATGCCTCGACCCCTACAACCACAAATAGGTGAGTGCACACACACGCACACACACACACGCGCACACACGCACACACGCACACACGCACACACGCACACACGCACACGCACACGCACACACACACACACACACACACACACACACACACACACACACACACACACACACACACACACACACACACAACACACACACATGTGTCATTGACGTGTATAGTATGCAAAATTATGGAGAAGATTATCAGGAGGAGAGTGGTGGAGCACCTGGAACGGAACAGGAGTATAAATGCCAACCAGCACGGATTCACGGAAGGCAAATCCTGTGTCACAAACCTTCTGGAGTTTTATGATAAAATAACAGAAGTAAGACACGAGAGAGAGGGTGGGTTGATTGCATCTTCTTGGACTGCAAGAAGGCCTTTGACACAGTTCCTCACAAGAGATTAGTGCAGAAGCTAGAGCATCAGGCGCATATAACAGGAAGGCACTGCAATGATCAGAGAATACCTGACAGGGAGGCAACAACGAGTCATGGTACGTAATGATGTATCACAGTGGGCACCTGTGACGAGCGGGTCCCACAGGGGTCGGTCCTAGACCAGTGCTATTTTGGTATATGTGAACGACATGACGAAGGGTTAGACTCAGAAGTGTCCCTGTTTGCAGATGATGTGAAGTTAATGAGGAGAATTAAATCTGATGAGGACCAGGCAGGACTTCAAAGAGACCTGGACAGACTGGACACCTGGTCCAGCAAATGGCTTCTCGAATTTAATCCTGCCAAATGCAAAGTCATGAAGATAGGGAAGGGCACAGAAGACCACAGACAGAGTATAGGCTAGGTGGCCAAAGACTGCAAACCTCACTCAAGGAGAAAGATCTTGGGGTGAGTATAACACCGAGCATGTCTCCGGAAGCACACATCAATCAGATAACTGCTGCAGCATGGGGGCCCCTTTGGAAAACCGGAAAACAGCATTCCGAAAACCTTAGTAAAAATCATTCAAGACACTGAACGGGACCGGTTGGGGGGCCCCATACGGAGTATGCGCCCCTTTTTGGAACCCGCACTTGATAAAGAAACGTCGAAAACTAGAAAAAGAAACAAAGGTTTGCGACAAGGTTATTTCCCCAGACCGGGGGGGGAAAAAGTCCATGAAGAAAGTTTAAAGGGGAAATGGGCCCCTACACACTGGAGGACAGGGGGGTCGGGGGAGACATGATAGCGACAAAATAAATCCCTGCGCCCAAATAGACAAGGGGGAAAAGGGACGGGATGTTCCAGGAGGGGAAACAGAAAAAAAAAGGCCAAAATTTGGGAAGTTGAAAAAACCCAAATTGATCAGAAGATAGTAGTAAGTATTTCTTCAGCAAAAGAGTTAAAGGCAGGGGAAATTTACCCTAGAAAATAACGAAAGTGGGGCAGGAACCATACAAATTTTTTAAAAAAAACCGGGGTTTTTGTTTAAAGCTAAAGGAGCGGGGAAAAAGAAGGGCCAGTAGAAACCCGGGTTTTGAAGGGGCGGGCCAAGAGCTAGGACTCGCCCCCTGCAACCACAAATAGGTTGGGGGGGGGGTAAAATAAGGGGGGGGGGGGGAGTACAAAAACCCCACACAAACACACACCCCCACACACACACACTGCGGACAAACTGGCCCCACACTTTTTCCAAAACCATAACCTGTCTTAAGCCGCTTCAGCCATTTTTTTAAAATGTCATTTAAAACCTTTGACACTAACTACTTCATTTCATTCACATTTTTTTTCTATATCATTAACATTTCATCTACCCCTTCCATCCACCTCATCCACTAACTTCTACAAATTATGAAAAATGTAAGGAAAACCTATTTTTTTGTCCTTACCGAAATTTTAAAATGAAAAAAAATATAAAAATATATAAAAAAATAAAATATAAAATTTAAAATATAAAAAAAATAAAAATATATAAAAATATATATATAATTTTATTTATATATATATATATACCGGCCCTGGATTTTAACCTGGGGGAAGATTTTCCGGGGGGGTCAACCCCCAAAACGGGGCCCCCGGTTTGTGACCAGGCCCCCTGGGGGGATAGAGCCTGATCAACCAGGTTTTTTTGGCGGCTGCACCCCAAACCAAACGTACGACCCACACCCCGGGCGGTCGGGAACCACTTTGGTTTGCTTGTCCAGGCCACTTGAAGACTGCCGGGGGCCTGTTGGAAACCCCCTTTAAATGTATGCTGGGGGGTAATTGAACATTTTCCGGGCCCCTAAACACTTATTGTATGGTCTCTTAACGGGGCTAGGGGACACCCTGCTTTTCATTGGGGGGATGTTGCATCGCCCTGCCAAGTCTTTTGCTTTCGTAGTGAGTGATTTTGGGTGTGAAAAGTTCGTAATTTTACCCCGAAAGGTTTTTTCCAGGTGTATTTTAATATGAAACTCTCCCGCCGCGTTCCGGGGAAATACAGTTTTGGGAACCCCCAAGCGCCCCCCAGAAATGGGTGTTTTATCCCCCTTTAAAAAATCCCGCGCCTGAAGGTTTTTTTTTAACTTTTTTCTAGGTCATAAATTTCACCTGCCTTAAAAGGTGCTTTTTAGTGTGCGGGAAAATATTCCAGCCTAATGGAACAAGTGACCTGAAGAGTGCCCATCAGGGGGCCTTGGCCTCCCAGTTTTAAAGGTTCTCATTACCATCCGGGTCTTTTTTCCCTAGCAATGTGTTTGGGTTTAAAAATTTTATGGTCCTTGAAGGGAAAACCCCGACATGATCACCCCCAAAGGTCTTTGACTGGGTTTCGCTCTATATTTGGGGCCAAAATTTTGGGTTTTTGACCTGATGAATTTTTAAATTTTTCCCGTTTTTAAACCAAAATCTGAAAATTTGAAATTTTTTCCATCGTTGAACTTCATATTGTTTTTTTTTGAAAGCCCCACTAAAGATTCGTTGATGTCCCCCGGGACCCTTGCATTGTCAGAAAATGGAAGACACTTGTAAAGCAGTTTGGGGGTGTCATCGCAAAGGAAGACAAGGTGGCGGCTGACATCCTTTCAATTCGGATATGGGGATGAGGAACAAGAGGGGAGCAAGTACTGTGCCTTGTGGAAAAAGAGCTTTTCACCGTAGCTCCCGGGAAACTTTACCTTTTTGACGATTTACCTCTGTTTTCTGTTAGTGAGGAAATTATAGACCCAAATCGCCCCGATTTTTTCCTTTTTTTCCCCCTTTTAAACATCTTTTTTGTGCGTATTACGCCAGGGTTTTTACACTTGGGGAAGTTTTTTGCAAATCTGTATAAAATTCCATCTGCTTTCTTTTTATCTTCTAGTGCTTTTGGGAAACCTTTTGTCGTAGGGGAAAAATAGTTGAGACAAACAGGAGCGACCTGTTCTAAACCCATGTTGCCCGGGGTTTAGTGTAACGGAGGGGTTTCTAGTTTGGGGGTGATCTTGCTTTTTTAACCCTTTTTCAAAGATTTTTATGATTGGGATGTTAGTGTTTTTGGGTTCTGTAGTTCTTTGCTGTTGTTTTACTGCCCCCCTTTTTTGGGAGGGGGGCTATGTCTGTTGTTTTTAGTAATGGGGGCCCGACCCCCTTTCCCTTTCCCCTCTCCATGGGAAAGGGGAAAAGGTTTCGTGATAGGGGCTTTTTTCATTTTCGGGATGAACACGGATTCCATGAGTCGGGCCCGGGGGCAGAGTGCAGGGGCATGTCATTTTTTATCGCCTTTTTCGAAGTCATTTCCCCGCCCGGGAAACATCGGATGGGCCCTTGTGTTAACCAATTTTGGGGCTCTCCCTCATAAAAAATTCTTTTTGATTTTCCGACACTCAGTCGGGTTTAAACGGCTTGCTAAAAACTGAGTCATTTTGGGGACTTAGTAGCTCACTCTTTTTCCTTGCTGTCATCTGTGTAGGCCCCCTTCTTTTTTAATAGGGGCCTAATACTGGACGTTTTTTTCGATTTTGATTTGGCATAGGAGAAGAAATCCCTTTTGGGGTTTTCTTTGATTTCATTATGACTTTAGTTTTTTCCCCGCGTTTCCCTGACCCCTAAAGTTTCCCCTTTTCCTTAATTTTTCGATGCTTCCCTATCCTCTGACCAGTCTCCCTACGCATTTCAGATATTTTAAACTTTTTTTAGCCGCTCGTTTTCCCTTTTTCCGTCGCCTGTAAAGGCCGCCTTTTCTCTTTCTTTTTTTAAACATCTCCCTCCCCCCTTTTTTTTAGGGGAAAACCCTTTTGTGCAACATCGGTGCCACCAATTTTAATCTGTTCAAGGCAAAAAGTCGGGGGTTTGGGGGTTTTTTTGAATATCTTCCCAGCTTATATGGGTTTGGGAAACTTGGTTTTTTGGTCCCACTTAATGTTTTTTTTATT